GAATATATCACAGCTTCTCTAGCCCTTCGTTTGTTGATGGGCACTTAAGTTGTTTCCAACTCCTTGCTATTGTGAACAAAGCTGCAATAAATATGGGTGTGCATTGTGTAGTACACTTTTAATCACAGTTAGTGCAGTGACTTTCCCAGTGTTAAACAATTACTGGATTTTGCTGGCAAGCTTCTTGAGAGCTGAGCCTACACCTGACCTATGGTTCTCATACAACTTCCTTCAACTTACTGTTCACTAGCCTTCAGCACCCATCTTCCCTGAACACCACCATCAAATATCTGAACGTACTCAGCCTTGGGTTTTAGTGAAGTTGATAGCAAATGTCAAGCTGGTGAGGGAGTGAATTACAGTGGAGTGTATTATTGTAGTTATTGAATGTTGTGAAGTTGATTCCTGCTCATGGTGATCACGTTTACCACAGAACAAAGCGCTGCCTGGTTCTGTGCCACCTTCACATTCAGTGCCGTACAGGAGCCCATGAGTGCGGCCACCATGTCAGTCCTTCTTGTTGAGGGAGGGTCTTACCTTTTTTACTGACCATCTACTTTCCCCTCCTTCAGAGACTGGCATCTCCTGATAACCTGTCAGAAGAACATGAAATGAAATATTCTGTCGTCAATTCTAAAGCACATTCTGTCTGTACTTCTTTCCATTCTTGTGGTGATCTGTGATATATTTAACATGCTTTGCTACCACCCTCATTCAAAGGTCTTTCCTCTGGTCTTTGTATTTATTGTCCAGCTTTCTCATGCCTGTGCAACTGGAAATAATAGCATGGCATTGGCCAGGTGCACCTTAAGGAGTCTTTACAGTGCCATCTTTGCTTTTGAATGCTACAGTGGAGTAAGTAGAGAAGTACAATTCAATAGCTATATGAATGATGTGATTGGCAGGACTTGAGATAGATAATGAGGGATGAGAGATGAAAAGACAAGCTGCTGATTTCAAGACAGAGAATTCTAAAAGAGGGTCACGTTTAAGAGAGAAGATGCTGAGCTGCCTTCTCGGTTGTGTCGGCGAACGTCATTGCTGTCCACTGGCTGTTGGCAGTCATAGTCTGAAGTTTGGGAATCATATAAGCACAGCAGATAATGGTGAATAATGGGAATAGAGAGAGGAGATTAGAAATTTCCCATGAGAGATAAGAAGAGGTATCTTAGGAGACCAGCAGCACAAGGAAAGGAACTCTGTGGTGAGCTTTAATTTTTGAAAGTTAAGAACACAAAGTGTCAGGAGACACACGTAAGTGCAGTTAAAGTACAGTAGCATGAACCTTTCAGAGTAACGCATTGTGAGGGGGTAGAGCTAAGTAATAGAGCATTTGACTTGAGAGTACTGTATCATGAGCCTTCCAGAGTAGTGCACCATGAGCTTTTCAGAGTAACTTCTTATTTTTCTAAAAGAAAAAAGTTAAATCATGGGCTAAAATTCACCAGAAATATTAAACACATTTTCTCTTTTTTAAATTTAGATTTTAATGAAAGTTTATAGAAAACTTAGATTTCTATTCTTTCATTATTGTACACTTTCCTTCCTGCCCTTCCCCGTTCACTTTTCTCTTTGGTAAAAAAAAAAAATAAAATCTGTCATTGTTGTACAGTTTTTCACCCCCAACCCAGCCCACTTAACTATGCAGCTCTTATTCTGGACTGTTATCATACAATAAGATCTAATCATATATTCCTTTCAAGCAGTTCTTTTCCTTCATCTACTTCCATGTAGTATACATTATTTATCCCCTCTTTTCTTAGTTTCTCCTCAACCCTGATGTCAGTCCTGTTTGATAACAGTGGCATTATGCACTGTTTGTCCTTTTTTGACTAATATATTTCACTCAGCATAATGTCCTCCATGGTCACCCATTTCATGAGTTCCTGGTTTTTCAGTGCTGCATCGTATTCCATTGTGTGAATATACCACAGCTTTTCTATCCATTCATTTGTTGATGGGCACTTGGGTTGTTTCCATCCTTTTTGCTATTGTGAACAGCACAGCAATAAACATGAGTATGCATATATCTGCTTGGGTGGCAGTTACGGTTTCTTTAGGGTATAGTCCCAGTAGTAGAATTGCTAGGTCAAATGGTATTTCTATTTCCAACTTTTTGAGAAAGTGCCATACCACCTTCCATAGTGGTGGCACCATTTTACACTCCCACCAACCGTGAATAAGGGATCCAGTTTCTCCACAACCTCACCAGCATTTGTTGGTTTTGCTTTGTTGAATTTTGCTCTTCTTACTGGGGTGAAATGATATCTCATAGTTGCTTTGATTTGCCTCTCTCTAAGAGCTAGGAATTTTGAACATTTCTTCATGTGTTTTTTGCCTTCTGAATGTCTTCTTTGGTGAACTGTCTGTTCATATCCTGTGCCCATTTTGCATTTGGGTTGTTTACCTTTATCTTGTGGTAGTGTAAACACAATTTTAAAAATATTATCTATTTGAGGTCTGGTGACCTAGTGGCAAGAAGATGAACTGCAATCCCATAGGTATCCTATTCAAATCCACCAGCGGCTGTGCTGGAGAAGGAGGGACAACCTCCTCTTGTACCAATCAGATCTGATTTGATAGTATACAAATAATAAAATAAAAGAAAAATAAAAAAACCTATTATCTGTTTAATGCACTCTGGTGGTATAATGCATTACATGTTGCTCTGCTAGTTCAAATGTACCGGCTACTCTGAGGGAGACAGATGAGCCCTCTCCCCTGTACAGCCCTGGACTCCACAGGGAGGGATACTGTGAGTCGAATCAACCCAACAGCAGTGGACTTCGAGTTTTGTAATTTATTTACAGAGAAAGTAGAAGAACAAAGAAGGCCTGGAGTAATTGCTTTTGGGGTGATTTAAAGTCCAGAAAATGGCAGCACTTAAAAAACAAAAACACCTTTATTTCAATAGCTGTTTTAAAAGAACCACCTTTTGACCAGGTGACTTCAAGCAAACAATGCTAAATCCAAAATTATACCCCAGGATAGATGAATTGGGGGAAAGCACTGAGCTTCTTTAAGTTTCCAGACTCAGGTGACATGTCCAGTCGGCTCAAGGAACTTGCAGACACAATCTCTAAAGAATTTAGTGTAATTTTGCGATACCATGGAGAATGGAAAATGAGCCAGAAGGCAGAGACTTGTAAACGGCTTGACTTCCAAAAAGGGCTTGCTGCTTCTTGTCACTAATTAAGACACTGAGTGACTTATGTTTTTAATTTTCAGGGCAGTCTTAGCCCTAAGG